TTCTTAAATGAAGCACTGTAGGTGCTTTAACCAGTTATTGGCACATATTGAACAGATAGACAATACATAAACACAAGAAACAATTATTTTAACCAGAGCCTACTTTCAGACAGGCTGGCAAGGTTTAAATATAAAAAATCCTTTTATAGTTTTTAACTTTTTAACTATAAATACACTAGTTACAACTTTTCTTAAAAGTCATCACTTAACAGAGATCATTTGTAATAACAGTCAGAAGGAAAAGTCTCTCCTACATCTGTGAGAGTAAAGACTGTTTTTAAGAAGAACCTAGGAAGCTGATGATTTATCTTATTGGAATAGCCAGCTATACAGGCTTCTACAGCCACAGATGATAGCTAAAGCTGCTGTTTTGATCATGAAACTGTTCCTGCTAAAGGGTCAGACTGTTGAATTTAACTGTTTTTATTTTCAGGGTGTGCTCATATTTTTCCTGATTAGTAGTTGACAATGTAAAGTAATTAAAGGGCTTAGTTCTCATTCTTAGGATCAGAGGACAAGGGAGGGGAATTTCAGGCTTAGTACTGGTAGATGCTTCAGAAGACACTTTAAGGACCAGAGGCATCTAGTTTTCCAGTGACTTATATCTACACTTTGAACAGAAGTCAGGATTGTCTCCCAATACAAAGTCTGGATGTAAGGCAACTCCAACTATCCTCCCTCTTTCTTACAGTACAACTCCAGTGGCAAAACAGTACCATAATCAACACTTCCTTCTACAATCTATAAAGAAATAGGCAGGACATACATACAGGTGCAGAAAAATATTAAACAGCTCTTCCTCTGAGGGAGGATCAAATGACTTCCAGTTCCTAAGAATACACTCCAAAGGAGTAAGGGAATTTGACATTGAATTTTCAGTCTGCAAAACAACAAGGGGAGAAGTCATCCCTTGAATTGCTCGTGGTTTTTTGTATGCCCTCAGGGCATCCCCTGAGCTTTTCCTGCTCCAGAGCAGGTGGCTGCTACCCAGAGAGCAACTAGGAGATAGGTCAGGCTGGAGTAGTCACCCTTACTGAGACATTCATCTACTTCTTGTGAAAACTCACATTTCTAACTCCAGAATGTGTTTTCAAAAGTACACACTACAACTGCTTCCCACTATGACAGACATATTTAAGAAGGAAAGCATTTCCAGTGAAAAATTAAACTGACGATCAAGAGACATGACTGCATGCTTTCTCTTGCCAGTCTTTCCAGTCCTGCCGGTCCTGGGGGAAAACCCCTGCTTAGGCACTGGGTCAGCCAACACCTTCATGTATGCTTTTCTCAGTGAACATGAATTCCAATTCCCTTCTAATCCAGGGATGGGGGTTAGGTAGTCTTATAAAGTAAAGCCTCAAGACAGCACTCATTTTCTAGGGTTTCAGGAGCTTCCAACTGAAAAAAGTTTTCAGGACTGTAAAAAGAAGCATATTACCATTAACTGACAATGATAACAACCATCCATAACAGAGGTAAGCGGCCAAAATCTGTCACCTAGCCTCAGACATACCCAAGAGCACGATCTACAAAGCAGTTAGAAATTCAAAATATCATTCCAAACAGCTGCGTAAAATAAAACAACAAGCCATTTCATAACTGCCATACAAGTCAGGATAGGAAACAAGTAAATTTAACAACCCATGTAGAAGTCTAAATGCAATATACATAAAACATGGATACAAGGCTTTGCTTGCAAAACTAAAAACATCCCATCAAAAGAACCTAGTATGAAGACATCACAATCTTCCCTGCTCTCAAATTTTAACATGGCTCAATCAACCAGTAAAAGGCATAAGCAAGTAACAGACGGCAATTTTTGATTACCTAAATTAATCACAGTCCAGAATCCAGTCAAAATATTTAGAGGTGTCATGAAATAAAAGCAAATTCTTACCTCCTTCCAATTATCTTGGTGCGACCTCCAAGATGATATAGGAAAAATTTAGCTCCCAACCTGCTACGTCAGATATGCCAAGTTTGAGCCTCCCAAAAATTGACGAATAAATTCCAATAAACATCGGAGGATAAGAGTAGGAAAGATTTATTGGGAGACAGCTCCTCAGAGACAGGAGAGTCCCTGAAAGTGGGGTGCCACCATCGCCCTTTGTCAGGGGAACAATTATGTGAACCTAGCCCTTGCTGAGGCAAGCTCCACACAAGTAATGAGAGCTGCAAGGAAGGGGTGGTTAACAGTTACCATCAGTGTTTCAATTATCCAGTACAAATCTGCTTCATAACAGCAATTCTGACAACAGAACTAAATTATTAACAGTAAACAAAAGGAAATCAGTGACTGTTAAATATAATCATACTCTGGTATTTTTGAGCACTCCAAAAACTACTCTACGGTATATCTTTTCTTGAACTATCTGCAGCTGAAACAATAATTCATGAGTAAAGATTATATTTGTTAATTTTAATATAGTACTATATCTAAAGTTTAACCATTTTTGAAAGGTAGGGGGCCAAGGACTTAGCTCAGTAGTGCAGTGACTGCCTGAGAAGCATGAGGTCCTGAGTTTGATTCCTGGTACCCCCCACAAAAGAAAGGTCACCAACAACTAAATTCAATTAAAATGTGTATTTTTATAATGAATGACAAAAGCTTAAGGAGAAATAGTTAAATCTATATCTGGCACTACAAGTACAAAGCTATGGAGTGGCAAGTGCCTCTTGTGCTTCTCTGATGATCCATAAACACAGAATGATGCCATTCCAATAGCTTCCACATGAAATATTTCAAGACAGCCAGCACACAGCTAGTCTGTAAGAGAAAATCGGCCTCCAGCTGTGAAAATACATTCAAAATATCGTATTCATGACATTGTTTAAACTTTTAGAAAACTCATTTGGAGTGGAAATACTTGGTCTGAATGGAACTCAAGTGAAATTTCCACATGTAGTTAGATTGTCAATGGTCAAAAAAAGACCACTGCTCTTATACAAAAGTGAATGATAAATCAGTTAACATTGAATAATCATGATTGTGTTTATTTCTAACACAGTTGAGGCTGCAACCCAAGTCCAGAAGAGGATAGTTTTCTTCCTCTAAACAAAGCCATTTATATCTGTAGGTAGAAAGAAGTAGATAGGTTCTGAATGGCTGAATAGTCTAGCATTACAGACAATATAGGGAAACCCTAAACATGAAACAATTCCGCACTGACAACCAGCATTCCCCTAGCAGGCATTTACCAAGCACCTAGAAGAGTGTCGGTGTTACGGCTTACATCTAGCTGTGCCCAGAGACCCTTATGTGGTTATAGGTGGCAAGTTTCAAAGGTGGCTGGGTTAGAGTGTGATTGATAATACAAGCCCCACTCTGCGTATAGGTGGCACCAATCAATGTTTACAGCCTACATGGAATATAAAGAGAGAGTGGGAAGGATTTTTGCTGCTGCTGCTTTACTACTTTGCTGCCTTGCTGCCTTCCACTTGCCCTGCCACACCATGGACTGTTTTTCCTCTATGATATCCCTCTGCCATGCCACCCTGTTTTGGAACAATCCAACTATGGATTGAAACCTTTACAAACTGTGAGCCAAAATAAACCTTTCCTCCTTTAACTTTTGGTGTTGGTATTTTGTCTCAGTGAAGAGAAAAGTAACTAAGACAGTAGGACACTGGAGGTGGGTTAAAAGAGGAGCCTCCCCCCACAAAAAAATGAAAAGATGAAGACTGAAATGGAAAGCAAAGAAAAAACTTTTAGGTTCAGGTGTTTATATCCCAGGCTTGGCTGAAGAAAAAAGCTTGACCATCTTTTTGAGATAATGAAATGATTAACTGAAACTTAATTAAAACTGAATCCTAACCCCAAAGAAGGTAGTTCATGATTAGTGCAAAAACTTACCCCTTCACTCTGGATGACAAATATTCACTGTCTACCAGTTTCATACAAAGCCTCCAGCATGCAACCAAATTGTATGAGATACACAAGATGCAGGAAAATGTGACATGATACCAAGATAAAATTCAGCCAGAAGCAGCAGCTTCACACATACCCAAGATGCCGAAATTCCTAGGAAGGGACTTTAAATCATCTGTCATTCCTATGTTAAACAATTGTGAGGAGAAATAGGAATAACATATTAAAGGATGATGAAATTTACCAAAGAAGAGATACCTAAAAAGAACCACAAGGAAATTGTAGATCTCAGATTACCCTATGTGTGTAGGGAGGTGTCACTGAATGAGTACAACAGCAGACTGAACAAACAAGAAGCAAGTATTGATGTGTTACAGAGTATTTCTCAGCCAGGGATATAGCTCAGCGGCACAAGCACCTGCCTGGCAAGCGCAAGATCCTGAGTTCAATTCCCGATACAAAAAAAAAAAAAATCAGAACAGAGTATTTCTATCTGCAGTGCAGAGAGAAAAACAACAAAATTTAAAAGAAAAGACCATCAGTCACTTGTGGTCCAACAGTAAATAATCTACTATACTTCTGAGAAGAGAGGAAAAATAAAATGGTGGAAAAGAAAATGTTTAAAGAAAAAAAATAGAGAAAGTTCAAAGTTGATGTTTTACCTACAAAAATTATATATCCAATGAAAACAGCCTTCAAAAAAGACAGACTTTTAGATAGAGATAAAATAAATCCATCAGCAACAGGCAAACTACAAATACCACAGAAAGCAATTATCTGTGCTGAAAGAAAATAACCCCAGATGGAAGCACAGACCAACAAGAAGGAATGCAGACCACTGTAAAAGGCAAAATGAAAACTACACAACATTGACATTTTATTGACTAACTTAATATTTAAATCTTTTTTGAAGACTTACTACAGGGTTTAAATATTTGTAGAAATAAATTGTAACAACAATATCATAAAAGACAGGAGACAGGAAAAGTAAGTATACCTTCGCAAGGTTTTCATACTAAGTCTCTGATCTAGTATTAAGATTATTTGAACATTAACTGTTATAAATTAATGATGTACGCTGAGGCCAGGCAGCCGCAGGGGAAAAAAGGTCAAAGGATAAGAGACACCATACTGCTTTACAATCTACAAATTTATTGAGTAAAACAAAATCAGTATCAGACAGACTCAATTTGGGCTAGTTCAAATGTGACTAAGGTCCATTTGCAGCAGAGAAGAACTGAGGTAAAGAAAGTACAATGTTGCCTAGCAAGGGGAAAAAAAAATCACTTTCCAGTAACTAAAAGCAGGCATCACCCAGCCAGTGTGAATCAGTTATCCTACAAGGGGACTCAACGTTTAACGTGCGGGGCTAAAACCAAAGGAAGCACAGAACCCTCCGGAGGAGAGGGCCCCACCACTCAGGCAGTGGTGCAGGAGAAGCTGGCTGGAGAAGAGGCGTCAGTGCAGAGCTGCTGGATCACTTAGGGAACACGGTGACCACATCATAGCCCTCAGGTGGTGTGACCCGTTCCCGCGCATGCTTTTCACAGTAGATCTGATCCTCTACAAAGAAATGGCCCTTCTGTTTCAGGTTGGTACCACAGTCGGTGCACACGTAACACTCTGGGTGGCGGTGATGGTCCCGCAGCTTCACAAACACACCACTGTGGAAGCGGGAGAGGAAGAGGGCACCATTAGTAACAAGGACCTGCAGGTGGCGCCAGTGCTCCACAATGTCCTTTCAGTGACGGGGCCTAGGCTTTATTTATCAAAAGGTGAAACAGAGCCTCCCAACTGGCCTCTGACTGTGGGTGTAAAGGGGAATTTTCACGCCTGGGATCCTGAAACATGCCTCAGGAGGCCCCTCTCATTTCCACAAAGCAGTCTCATCTTCCCTGGTTGTACATGCTCATAAATAACCTAAGGGAAGGGAAAACCCACACCACCTGGCCCTGGAACATAAACACTTCATAGCTTCTGCTCCTCTTTTTTCCAGGCAGAATTTGTCTCATTTTGTTACAGTTTGTATCTAGATGTTCTCCCAAAGCCTTATGTGCTCACAGGTGGGGCTTTTCGGAGGTGGCTGGATCTATGGTGTGTGACGCTGGGATTAAGGATGTGATGCTAGGATTAAGGGTGGAATATAAAGGACAGAGCGCTGCTGCCATCACTTGCTGCTTGTCCGCTGCTGCCTCCTGCCTGCTCTGCAATGACCCTCTGCCATATCACCTTGCCTTGGAGCCAACCGACTGCGACTGAAACCTCTACAAACTGTGAGCTACAATAACCCTTTCCCCTTTTAACTTTGAGGGTCGGTATTTTGTCTCAGCAATGACAAAAGTAACTAGGACACCTTTACATCGAGACTGTGCAATGTTCAGGACTTTGCACATTTCTACTTCCCACCTTCAGGGCCTCCCTGGACTGCGAGAAGCAGATACTCACACAATGCCAGTCCCACATTTGTCACACATGGGCAGCTTCTGAGCATTTCCAACAGATGCTGCCACTTTGGTGACCGGAGCTTTAACACTTCTGAATCCTGAGGGCTTGTTGGGATCCCCTGAAATGAGGAAAACACACATTGGTTGAGAAGTGCAAAAATGCACTTAGAATCACATAAGTCTTTTGAAGCCACTAGATGACACATGTGTGTTCAGCCAATGTCACGAGCCCTGGAGTCAAACAGATGTGACAGTAGGCAAATTGCTTCTTTGGTCTCCTAGTTTCCTTTTCTATAAAGAACATTTTTCTCTTCACTTTCATGCAAAAAGATTTTGAAAAATATATAAGGCCTTCTACAGTACCTGGCACATGTTCAGCCCTCACAACACAAATTATATTACATTCTGATTAAACTCATGTACACACTGATATGGGAATTTTACATATACCTTACATAATAATAAATAAGTGAACCTAAACATATCTGCTAAAAGATGGTGTATGTCAATGGAGAAAGAAAACTGTATCATAATATGAACAAAATTCTTCTAGTATAGCATGCTATCAGCAGCCAGATGAAAACCATATAGAAAGGCAGGAGCTTTTGGACATTCAGCCTCATGCACATTAAATAAGCACCTACTTACTGGATGCTGACCACCCACAGTCCAGCTCACATCTCAGGGCACTGAGAGCCCGGTACCATGGGAGCTATTAAAAATGGTAGGCTATGAGTATTACTGTGGAGTAGACTTCCCCATCCCTGGGCTTCGACCAGTGAAGAGCGAGCAGATGTGAGCGCTCAGGCAAAAAGGACTAAATGCAGTTGTGTGGCACTGCGTGTCCCCACGTAGCTTCTTCCCTCTCCTGTAAGAACAACAAGACCCAGAGAGTGCGCCTTCCTTCACTAGGGGCCCCAGAATGGGAAGACTTGGGTGCCAGGTCCATACCTGCCAAGCCCAGTAGTCCAGCTGACCAGTAGCCCTTGTGCAATGCGAGTTACCCTTAGCTTAGTAACACAGGGTGAGAGTCGGCCTGGGCTACTGTTTGTTGGCTTACAGCAAACTCTCTACGAAGTATTTGGAAGCAGCCTGGATTTTTGATAGCCCTATCGTGGGTGCTCATGGCACAGTCTCTGAGGTGCCCCCACCAGTGCTGGGCTCCCACACTGAGGAAACACATACCCACCCAGTAAAACCTAAGCTGCAGAGAGATTCAAGGGCCCCAGGGGTTCTATTACTGTAAAATAGGGGCTCTGTGGCTCGTGGAAGGTTCAGTTCTGCCCCGTCAGTAGGTGCATCAGGGATGCCACGTTGGACCTTCATGTCCCAAGCCTACGACACTTTCTTGCTGTTCCCAAGCCTCTGGGAGAAGACTACTGTCCTAGTTTTGTTCATCGCTGACTGCATTAATCTTGATTTTTTAAAAAACTATGACATTAAAATGTTATTTTTATCTTAACTATTACTTTTTTTTTAATGTCCCCTTAAATTCCGCACATAAGGCAAATTCCTCACATACCTCATCTGAATCGCAGCTTTGCCCAGAGGCCTCTCAAAAGGACTTGGGTGGGTGGCTTTTCCAGGCACCTTAAACTCGCCTTCTAGCTGCCAGTGTGTGCCTGCCTACCCCATGACAAGGGAATAGCAGCTCATCTGCACTCCGGACAGTGCAGAAAAGCAGAACTGCAGAGGATCCAGCTCAGCAATGAGCTATTTTTTTCACACAATTCAATCAGTAGAAAAATCACCAAGAAAGGAAAAGAAGTACAAAAAGAAGGGAAGAAAGTGAGGACGGGCCTGAAATTCCTTCATGGCAGGAGAATCCATAACCTGTTCTGGATGAAGAGACAAGAGCTGAATTCAGTTGGGCAAAGATGGGCTGATGAGCCTGTGTATGAACGGCTCAGCCCTCATCAGGGCTTGGGCAGCCCTGCAGTGCCACCTGCTGGCAGGAGGTATTTTTCTAGCTTATCCAGCCAGTTCTGGAAATTCAGCAAATCTCTTCTTCCTTCATAACTGGCTTAGGAATGGATTATAGGCAGCTACAAAAATTTCCAAATTTCTCTTCTTCACGTGACCTTTGTGTACATGTTTCGGAAAAAAAAAGTAAAAACCGTTTAAATAAAGCACAGCAGTTTTTCTGTCCACTTCACAGTTCAACAGTCTTCCATGGCTCTATATTCCTACGGACTCAAGTTCAGGACGTTTAACCTAGGACTGGTCACCTCTTTTAGACTCCAGACCATTAGAGGATCCTCCTGGAACCAGGGGCCTCAACCAAAGGGAGTGTGCATAGCTGCCGCACAAGTCTCCAACTTTCTCCTCCAGAAGCCTATGGCCATCACTATGTGTTCTTGGTTATGATGTCCCCTTTTAAGATCTCCACTTTTTAAAAGTCTTCTTCCACAAGCGGATGAATAAACAAAATAAAATTTGGAATACATAGACAATGGATGTTATCTCACCTTAAAAGGAAGGAAATTCTGACACATGCTGTAAGAACGAACCTTGAGGATATTACATTAAGTAAAATGCATCAGTCACAAAAGAACAAATGATGTGATTTCAATTACATGAGGTATCTGGAAAAGTCATACGCAGAGACAGAAAGTAGAGTTGCAGTGGCCAGGAACTGGTGGAGCAGGGACTGGGGAGTTATTGTTTAATACTAGAGTTTCAATTTCAACAAGGTACTGTTCAACAAACAGTTCTGTGGAACGCCAGTGGTGATGGTATCATGACATAAATGTACTTGGTCACAGAACTGAGTACTTGAAAAGGATCATAACGATAAACTTCATGTTAAGTATTTTTCATCACAATTAAAAAACATAAAGTCTCCTTTTGCCTGCAAATTTAGGAATTTATCCAGAGCAAGACGAGTGTGGGGAAACCAACATCCTCTCCTTTTAGTATAAAGGATGAAGTCATCCTAAACAAGACAACCTGCACTAAATCTTAATTGGTTTATACCAAACCTGCAGCAAGGCTGTACAGACACACACTGCTTTAACCCTTTAAACAATGAGGAACTTCTTTTGTGTCCCACTGGACACATTCAGGAATTAGGGCTTAAAAAGACTAGCAACTTGCTCCAGGTCTTGGCAACAATGAGACAGATCTTGATGCCAGTGTTCTTACCTACAGTGCTGCTCTCTGAACCAGAGGCCTTTCTGCATGACGTAACCCTCACTGGGTGATTTTACCATGTACCAGCCACTGCCCTATGCCTTGACTATTTCATCTCAAATGAAAGCAGTACTGAAACACCCTTCCCATAGAGCTTTCTGCATGTGATGGATGTTAACACTTTATTCTCTTGAATGCAGGTACACATTAAGAAAAATGGCAGAAACTACAAGATCTGTTATCTCCCTCTTCCTCTGAGAAAATATTAATTTTCTTTGGGATGAGAATCTATCTAGATGAGGGGATAAAAAAAATTAATCCCCAGATTCTTATGCAGCCAGGTGTGGCCATGTGACTCAATTTCCTGGTCAAAAAAACATAAATGGAGTAGTAGTATGGGACTTCTGGGAAGGAGAAAGCTGGCTCATCTGAACGAGGGGACTCCCAAGTTAGCTCTGTCCCTTCCTTCCTCCCTGGTGCCTGGAAGTGGGCTGGATGGCTGGTGTATCAACTGCCACTTAGGACCACACGGTAACTTGAGCGTGAAAGCCACAAGTGCGGTTGTTGGGGCACAGGATGAAGGAATCCAGACCCCGGTGAGCACGGAACTGGCAACTCCCTGCTCAGATCCTTCTCTGGGAGCCCAGATGAGCGCCGTAGTACCGATATCCCAGTCTGGGCAGGATAAGTGAATGCCTCACTCATGTGAAGAATTTCCCACCCACTTATTTTATTCAGTAAAATAAGCTGTTGTTTCTCCCATTTTTTGACAAATTCATCATCCTCAAAGGTTGGACCCCAAGTTGTCAGTCAGTCAGGGCTAATTCTGAAGTTAATACACAGTTTGACTCTTTTTTTCCCCAACTACATAGGTACTCCAAGCAAGGGAGGGAGCTGCTGGTAGAACAGTACCTTTTAGCATAAAAGAAACACTGCTTTTCTAATTTCCTGTGGGTGTAAACTGTCACTCTCTCTAAAGAACCTACAGCATGAGGGAGGAAGCCCCATTGTTGGGTGTGCTCAGCTTCGGAGGGACTCCCCAAAAGTCAAGTCTCCAGTGGGGTTGTTGAGGAACATGTTCCCTGGGAGATGGCACCGAGCTCTGACCTTCGCTGACTGCCAGAGCCAGCTGCAGATTGGCTGATGCCCATCTCCCAGCCATAATTACCAGACGTCCTTCCCAAGAGCACCAATTCTCCATTCAAGGATGGATACTTTGGAAAGAAGACAGTCAGAGCTCACTTATGAATAACCTACACGACCTGGAGGCCTCCTGATAAAGTTTCAGCATAATTAATTATGAAATATCTACTCTTTGCCAGTCATGGCAATGGGTGGTTTGCACAATTAATGACACTGATGCTAGAGTGATTTATAAACTAGCCTAAGGACACAGGGTGAGGACACAACACACTGGAGCTCTCAGGCCTATAAGACTCCATCTACCCTACAGTGAGAACAAGCCCACAGTCCCAAAGGGAAAGTAGGCACCTGCCTTCAATGGCTTGCTGATCTGTGGTACATGGAGCTTGTTAAATAAAGACTGGCTCTGAAGGTATAGTAAAGAGGGGCCTCACACTCTCCCCCACTCGTTAGCAGTTTTTAGCACTTTGAAAGTCCATGAGGGCTGGGGGTATAACTCAGTGGTAGAGAACTTGCCTAGCATGCATGAGGCCCTGGGTTTAATCCCCAGAACCAGGAGGGGAAAAAAATGTGGCACATGCCTATAGTGCCAGCCTGGGCAACTTATGAGACCCTGTCTCAAGAAAAATAAAAACTTATGCCTTTCAGAGTACACTGTGCTCTACCTTCCCTGTCTATATTCATCCATGCTTAAGTAACAATTAACCCTCACAGCAGACCTTGAACAAGAACCTCTAGTCAAAGGTAGGGCTGATTACCTTTTTCCTCTGACTCCAGGATCTCCTGCAAAACCAGGAAGGATGTGGACTGTTTGGGGGGCTCATTTAACTCCTGTTTCTCTTGAAGCATCTTGTAAACTTCAGATTCTTTGTCAATGATGAGGCTGCCTGAATGCTGGGAATGATCTAAGCTGTAAAGAAAAGGATGTTTAGAAATTTATTAAGACATGTCAGAAGTTACCAAAAAACCACACCCAGCACTCCTCCCGAAGCAAAAATACCCTGGCCCAAAAAACAGACAGAAATTATCCATTTTCTTAACCCAGTTGTAGACCCGCCTAAATTGTGGGGTTTCCTTATGGTCAGAGATGGCTGCTGCTTCAATGTACTAAGAGACTGTTTTAGCAAATAGTTTCAGTAATTTAATTACTTGTGTCTTAATCCCATGGAAGGGAGATGCTTTACTTCTTTTTAAATTATACAAATAAAACTATGTCAAGAGAAGATTTAAGAGGGAAAATGTTGACCACAACCTGACCTCTGAAAACTCAGCTAGGTCTCCCTGTATGGGCCACAGGCATCATTTCATGAGCAAAAATCACATTCTTCTTTCCTAAGGATCTCCAGTTATTTTCCCTGACTCCATAAGCTCCTCACAATTCTCGTGACAGGAAGCTTGGACCTCCTCACCTGTCACACAGAGGCAAGCACCTAATCTACAGGGCTGGTGGTAAGACTGAAATGGTAAAGTGCTCTGCAAACTCTAAAGGGTTCAGGCTCAGGGACCAGGCAAGATAAGCACTGCCTCCCACACGCATCTCCTGTCACTCCGGGTACCCTAGAACAGGACACGCAGGTACAGCTGTGGGGCTCCTTCCCCTGAATGCCACGATCCAGTGGCAGGAAGGCTGTGCAGCCTTGGTCTCAGGCAGGAGGGAGACCTGTACAATCCATCCTGCATCTGACCCCTTCTCATCACTCATCACAAGCCATGCCATCGCCTACCAGCGTGATCAACCAGTCCAGAACTTGTTCCTCCTGCATTCTCTGCTGTAGGACAGTCTTACTTTCAACCAAAGGCAGAAAGATATTTTTTTTTTTCTGGTACCAGGACTTAAACTCACGACCTTGTGCTTGCCAGGCAGGCGCTGTGCTGCTGAACTAAATCCCCAGCCCCAGAAAGATATTTTAAATGCACAAATCAGACTGTATCATGCTGTGGCTCAGTGTAATTTCATCAGACTTTGAACCAAACATTTATAGTTTTAATAACAAAATACAAGTTTAAACAAATGCAACTCCTTTGGAATAAAGACTCATTACAGAAAGGATAAAGCCCTAAAAGAATCAGTCTAGCTTCCCTCTCAAACGTAATCCCTGGCTCACCCTCTCTGACCAGAACAGCCTTCTAGCAGTGCCTGGACCATACTAGCCTCGGAGGCTTTATACCTCCTGCTCCCTCCGCCTAGAATGTCTCCCCAGATGTCCTCAGGGCTCCCAGGCTTCACTTGGGTGCACTCCTCAAGGAGGGCTTCCTGACCCCAGCTTGTAACAGTCCACTGATCCCACTCACGCTACCTGCTACTTGCTCTCTCACCATACATTATACCTGTTTCACTTCACGATTATCCTGTTCCCCCTAGAAGGTAAGCAGGGACAGCCCATCTTACTCTCCAACATCTTCCCTTGCCTGGGTTCAATGTCCAGCCCAGAATCAGAACTCAGTAGTTAAGTGGCAGCACTGCCAAGCAGAGCCAACGCCTCTTCCGCCTTGCTCTTCTTGGTCTCCTCCTGCAGGTTCATAGGAATCCAGGGTAGCAGTTCAGGGATGCAGGTGACCCACCTCTTGGACCCACATCACCTCTTTCCTGCTCTGCAAGTTCTCAGAAGCCACCAGAGGGACAACGTGCCCAAAGGGCTGAAGAGCAAATATCAGATGGACAGTTGATGGTGGAAGTCATGCAGGTGGATAGGTGTCTACATAAACAAGCTGCAATCCCTGAATAATAAAGCTCCGTGCTCTCCAGCCCCCCTGGTTGCCTACCAGCGTTAAGGATGCGGGCAGGCGTAGATGAGTTGTATCAATTACACTTACTCATGTAGTTCCCACCCGGTCATTGTGTAAGGTAGCTCATATGCTACTTTAAAGAAAATCAAGGTATATATTTTGCCTGTGTATTTTTCCCCAAGTTTCTTCTCCCTCTCCTTTCTTTCTTTTCTCTGAGACAAACTGTGGGACAGCCTACTTTGCCTCCTGGGGCACTTTAAGTACCCAGTCGCCAGCTGAAAGCGGAGACAATCACAGGAATGAAGCCGCAAGTGTTTCCCTTGGCTCTAACCATGTTCGGGCAACACAGAATACGCATCTCAAAGAGTGACATCTGCTTTGGTGCTGCCAGGGATGATCGACATCTGCACCAGGTCATTACCCCTGGACTACAGGCTGCAGCTGGGGGAAGGGACAGCAGCCATCCCAGCCAATCTTGCCCGTCTCCCTCCCTCTACCTGCTGGGCGATGTTGAGCCTCTCTAGGCAGGCGGGCAGGTGGGCAGACGCAGGGGTCAGTTGCAGCCTCACCTATTCAGCAATTTCGTTTTTTTAGTTAGATGCCTAGAACTTGCCCTATAATAAGTATATTACATTATTTCTTATGAATCTTTCTTCTATTACACTTAGAACTATTTTAAAATCAAGATCAGACCATGGAATGTTCTTGGGAAGAATTTTTCCTCTTCTTTAGTGTGTGTTTTGTCTGGAAGCCACCAAGAAAACACAAAATGAAAGAAGTCAAACCACAAGGCCATCACATATTCTTCCAACAAACAGCCTTGGAAAGTATTTCTGTAATTTAAAAAATTACTATTTTCAAATAATGATAATATATTTATGCTGCTGGATGATTTATAAAGCACTTTCGATATCCACTATCTTATTTGAAACATGGCACGTGTACTTTACACACAAGAGCTTAAGGCCCAAACTCTAATTCTTAGATGCTAGACTATTAGGATAACAACTTGATAACATAACATCTTTAAAAATAATCAGCAAAAGAAATAGACCCAAAGAAGTCACACATAGCAACGGAAGAAAGAATTCCACAGTGATATGATGCTATGGTTTGACTATGGCTTTAAGTGTGTTGCCAAAAGTTCACATACTAGAAGCTTAGTTTTCAGTGGTGATGTTGGGGGAAAGGACGAGATATCTAAGCAGTACAACCTAGTACGTCTTTGGGAACCTGCCCTCAGATCATCATAGTTCTCATAAGAGAAAACAGGAAAATCTAAAACACCTAAAATTAGACTTCTAAGTAATATGTAAGTCAAAAAGAAGTCTGCAAGAAATGACAAAGATACTACACAGAATGAAAACAAAAACACAACATATCAAACATATCTAACCTAGTGTAGAGAAGGAAACTGGTTTTGAGGGTACACATTAAAAAGGCCTAGCTTTGCGCAGTGGCAGTATCGTAGCCAATGAGGTTTATCTGAGGCGTGATTATTGCTAATTGAAAAGGCCTGTGAAAGTCTCAAATCAGTAACCTAAACTCCAACCTAGAACCAAGAAAGACAGCAAAGGAAAATTGAAGAAAGCCAAAGGAAGAAAACAAAGCAAGGAGTACAAACCAGTGGGATTGCCAGCACGGTGGTGCAGGCCTATAATCCTTGCACTCAGGAACCTGAGGCAGGAGGATCACCATGAGTTTGAGGCCAGCCTGGGCTACATAGTAAGTTCAAGGATAGCCTGATTACATAGCAAGACACTGTCTCAAAGGAAAAAAAAAAAAAATCAGTGAGGCTGAAATGATAGTAATAGAGAACATATATTCTTTGAAACAATCAATAAAATTGATAATTGTCTAGTAAGGCTGACAGAGAGAGCGAAGGCATACTTAACCAGGACCAGGAATGACACAGAAATAGCACAACAAACCCTGCAGAGCATAGAAGATACTACTCCTAACAGGATAATAAAGATAATACCATGAACAATTCCACACACATAAATGGACAATTCAGAAGAAACAACCTACCTGAGAGGGTAGTGCACAACTATAATCCCAGCACTTGGGAGGGTGAGATAGGAGGATCACCGCTAACTCAAGGCCAGCATGGGATACACAGTGAATTTGTGGACAGCCTGAACTACACAGCAAGACCCTGACTCGAAAAATTAATTTTTAAAAAGGAAACAACTTAATTTCTTGGAAAACTGTGTGCTACACCCTAAGTCACCCAATAAGAAATAGATAATTTGAAAACCTACAATCATTAAAGATATTCACTGAAAAATTAATTTTTAAATTCCCCAAAAAAGAAATCTCTAGGCCTAATCATGTGACTAGAGTATTCTACCATACATTTAAAGAATCAACACTCATTCTATACAACATCTTCCATATAACAGAACAGAACATTTCCTAGCTTAATTTGCCAAGTATTAATTACCTTGACAGAACAAGTCAGATAACAGTAGTCAAACAAAGGAAACTACAGACTAGTATAACTTAAAAATATAGATTTAAAATGCCCAAGCAAATTATTAACAAAGAAAATTCAGCAATTTATAAAAATAACAATATGCCATAACCAACTGGAGTTTATTTCATGGATACAAAGCTAGCTTAATAATCAAAAATCAATTACTGCAATCTACCACCTTAACAGGCTAAAGAAAAATCACTTGATACAGAAAAACCATTTGACAAGACTCAATATACAGTTATAATAAAAAAAAAACTCTCAGCAAAATAGAAGGAAATTTACAAGGAATATACAAAAAAACAAAATCCCTCCCAGAAATAATTAAGGAATTCAGCAAAAATACATCAAAATAAACACAAAGCACTCAAGATAAACATGAAAAAATCAAATGTATTTCTTTATTCTAGCAGTGAACATGTGGTCACTGAAATTAAAAACACAATACTATTTACACTTGCCCAAAACGTATAGTTAGTCTATTAGGTGCAAATCTAACAAAGCATGTATGAGACTTCTATGCTGAAAACATCAAAATGCTGATGAAAGAAATTAAATTAAAGAGGGTGTAAACAAGTAAAATGGTATCATTATCCATTAATTGGAAGATGAAAGACTAGAGAACTCAGTTCTCTCCAAAATGATGCACAGTGATAAGTTTACCATAATTCACAAAAAATACCATGAGATTTCACAGACATATA